ACATACCCCAGTCATAAATCCTCGGCTTCTCGAGGCTGGGGTGCTCCACCACGCAGCTGATTTTGTCCCAGTGCGTCGACGTGTACTTCAAGTACGAGTGCCTCTGATAGAGCCAATTGCCATTGGGTAGGGAATCGGTGGACGTCACCTCAGATGTAACCCGCTCGCCGTTCTTGAGCCACGTCACCAAGATCTCCTTTGGATAGAAATTGTACACACTGCAGACAAGGGTCGCTGGATGCTCGCTGTCCGCCGGCGCCTTGGTTAATCGCAGTCGGACCTTCGGCTCAACTGCGAAATTGTGAAAACCATCACAAGTGACAACGAAATAATGGTGAAATACAGAACTGAGACGTATCGGTACACATGGAGGTGAGAGGAAGTGAAACTATGTTAGTCTCCCCTTTGCAGCTTCCACTCAGTAGACCACAAGATATGACTGTGAAGTCAAGTCACTTGAACCCGAGAGAGGGCATTGTTATCACACGATCACCGTTGGAGTTCACCACAAACTTTTTTGATGGGTTTTCTTTCATGCCAAACTCATCTCAGCCTTGACAAAAGGGGCCAAACCTGGATTTCTCCCTCAAAGTTGCCAGTATATAAACTGTCAACTACACAATTCAAGGAGATTTAAGTCACCTCCTCGTCGCTCAACCCCTGATTGATTGATTGATTGGTTAAGGGGTATGTATGTCCCAGTGCTTCTAATCATATAATGTAAAAGTTACAACAAGATTACCTTTCTGGGCTAAGATGCTGTATGCACGAGTGATCCATGTCTTGCAGAGTTCTAGAGTTTCTCTAATGCCTCTCAAATAATAGTACGTGTTCAGAATATCTGCAGCTTTCCTTGCCATCTTTGTGGAGCCAGTAACATTTCCCCAGGTGCTGTTGTATTGGACATAAAGCATCTTGTTATAGTAGGTTTTCTCCACAACAGACGCATCATGACCATCACTGGAGCTCCCCTGGCATTTCAGCAGAGCATGCATACATTGAGTATCTGTAACACAAGCCCAAGTCAGTGCCATTAAAAAAAAATCACCAATGGAATGACGTTGACAATCATTTAAATCTGTGACTTCCTCTTAAAAAATCTTAAATGACTCAAAATAAATATTGACTCATAAACACTCATTGTGATGTTTCCACATCTATAAAACCATTTCATCAGTTTCATGTAACATTAAATACTTGAAATTAATGTCACAGTGTTTGTGGAATCAAAGATAATACAGTATATATAAAATGTTCATTATTCGCCATTATTCATGTGTTAAAAAAAAAAAAATGTACATGAGTCAAGTCTCTTAGTGACCAGTGTTGAAGCAATGCTGTGGCCCCTCTCGTTCGAAGCACACAAATTTCTACACTGGATTGAAAATTTACTCACCTGCATGGCAAAACACCAGGCAAAGACAAATAGCTGAGAGCGTATACATAGCGACAACTGGAAAAAAAACCGAAAGTGAAGCGACTGAAAAGCTCACAGTTTAAGGCGTGGCAATTCAGTAATTGATTCATACTGACACTTCTCATGTTTTTATAATCCAGTTCGCCTTTATTTCAAATGCTGAAGTGTTCTACATAAGGCCAAACAAAAAAGATAGTGTGTTTCCGGTAACATGAAATTTCAGCATAGGGTCGGTAGGTCGGACAAAGGTTTTTTTTTTTTTAATTTCCCCCACCCCCATTAAAAACTAAAACAAAATATTTAAACAAAATAACCATAAAACATAAAACAAGAAGACATTGAACCCGCCGCTACCTATTTAGTTTTCTCCCCGCTCCGGACTCGGGGGGCCGGGGCGCGCCGCCGCCTCCGCCGTCCTCCTCCGCCCTCGGTTTTTACTCGGCCCGTGGTGTTCATCAAATAGTTCGCTGAATTTTTTCGATACATCAGTGGATGCTATTTTCTTAACATTACGGTGCGAGCATGCGACTGTAACACAGAAAACGCGGTTTAAACTGTCGTCGGAGATCGCGTCCGCCGCCATGTTTCAATGTTGTTGACAGACGACAGGGCAAACGACGCACGCGCTCAACGTGAATATCGCGAGTTTGCACCGATGTAAACCCTCTCCACAAAAATGTAGAGGGTTGTTTGAAAAAAATGCCGACCTTAAAGTTTTTTTTCGACGTAGAAATTCTCGGTTGGTCGGGTTACCGGAAAAACACTACTTTTTTTTCTACGCCTAAGTGAAAAAAAAATCCCACCAAAACGGTTCATTTACAACTTTCGACTAGCTGCAAGAAACTGGAAACATGTAATCAATCCATCCACCTCAGGACAATTTAGAATCTAAATTGTAAATGAATGTCATGCATGTTTTTGGAATGTGTGAGGAAACCGGAGTACTTTGAAAAAAAAACTGTCTCTTCCTCCTTGGCAATCAATCCACTCAAAAGCTCACAACGACTGAACATTGCGAGGTGTTTGGGCTTGTTTGCTATGATTCCCGGACTCGCCCCATCCAACACACGGGCAGTTACAAGACAATGTGACGGTTTTCAAAAGTACTTACCAAAACAGTGCTAAATTAAGAAATGCAAATGCCAGAACTGTCGACTTGAACACGGTGATGAGCATGTAGAAATACGAACAGGATGTCGATGGCTGTCATGGCCGCCGGTCACACTTGATTGGTTCATTTTTGACCCAACAAAAACATTCCAAGCATATAACCCAATAAATATTTAATTTGAATTAAACATTTCATAAGAAATATCCCAGAATTTTGACCCAACACAAACAATCCAAAAATTGAGTTAATGAAATAACCCAACTGTTTTTACAGTGTACCACTGATGGGGAATCTCTCTATTAACAAGTTGCGTGTTTTGTTCATCAATGTGGAAGCCAGAATCACAAAACAGGCGTCGCATAGCGTCCTCTGACTCCCCAGAAAACTCCAGATGCCACTCCAAATAGTGCCACAGTCAAGCCCACGCCACAGAAAACATCTGCTCCAACGCCGGGATGACTGAACTCCACCTCTGTGACATTGAAAGACAAGTTTTTTTACTGCATGAGTGTGTGCTGTTTTCGTCATTGAAGTATAGAATGAATGAAAATATTTACCCAAAAAAATTGTTTTTGGCCTGTCCAAGGCTGAGTGCTCCACAGTACACCCATAAATGTCTCCTTCTTTTGGTGTGAATGTCAGTGTTGACAATTGGCGGAATGTGGCATCCTCGTTGGGGTAATACCGACTGAGTGACACCCCCTCTGATACCTCTATGCCATTTTTGGTCCAGTGCACTCGGATGTTCGGTGGGAAGAACTGATCCACGAAGCAGATCAAGGTGTTTTCTTCACCCTGCAGAACCTCGTCTGCAGAGTAGATGACGGTCTGTGGGGGATCTGGAGGGGGCAGAATGGATAAGAATTAATTATTGGACACATTACGACAATTACAGTTCAGTTCAGTATTTGGACCGTGGTATGAAGCTGTTTACAAAGTAGTTCTGCTTTTCATTGTGTGATAGCAACACCTATTTTCAAAAGACCAGCCTGACATGAAGTTACAATGACATCGGCAAGGCAAGTTTATTTATGATGCAGTGCATTTCACACGCAAGGCAACTCAACGTGCCTCACACGACACCTAAAAGCCTTTACAACAGAACATTTGAAAACATTCGCAAAGAGAGAAAATGTAGCTAATTAAAATTACTAACAGAACGTATATTGACATTTGAAATCCTTCACAAACAATATTTACAGAAATTTAAAAGCAAACGACATCATGTCATTAAAAAAAAACTAATTTAAAGATTTTATTTCCAAATTTCTGTTCCCAGGTGTCTTCATATCTGTCCTGTCTCACCCCACTGCTCACTAGAGCCCGACCACATGGATATTTTTTTCGGTCAAACACTTTTAGGTTTGATTTAGTCGACTGGTTAGCCCATCCGCTTCACAGTGCAGGGTTCGATTCCTTCCTGTGCCTGCATGGGTTTTCTCCAGGCACAGTACTCTGTTTTCCTCTCACATTATCAATAAATGCATGGTAGATTAACTGAACGCTCTAAATTGTCTCTAAGTGTGATTGTGAGTGTGAATGGTTGTTTCTCTATGTGTGCACTGCGATTGCCTGGCAACCAGTTCGAAGTGTACCCCGCCTATTGCTCAAAGACAGCTTGGAAAGGGTCCTGTAATACAATATTGCTGATGGACAGTCTGCGGCTGGATGGATGCACGGATTGAGGAGCCGACGATGAGAAGAAAGGAGCGTCAGCGCAGAGCGCCGATGCGTATGTGGAACCGGGAGTCGCGGCTTGGAATTGAAGCGGATTTACATGGGACAGGAGAAGAGAGCCAATCTCTTTTTCGTTAATGGATGCGACAGCTTCTTGTTGCTTTCAAGCTTAGCTTGTAACAGATGTGTGCACATTGCAGCATGACGTCTTTGATCCACTGGTGAAAAGGACACTCTGATTCACTCCTCTTTCATCTATAACTGCTTCAGACAACGAGTGTATGCAGGAAAGTGGTTAAGCTTGCATGATTGTCTGTGTCTCATGTGTTGTCTTGTATTATTTTGTAATTTATTTTTAACTTTTCTTTTGATGGCGGCGCGGACACCCGCAGCTGCTCCTCTTGTTTTATGTTGAGAGGGAAGAAATTTAATCTGTATGTGTAACATACAGTACATTTGACAAAAAAGTTGTATTCAATATTCAATTCAATTCAATATTACAGCCGGGCATCATCGTAAACTGGAGGACAGCACGTTTGCCTCACATTTCAAAGGTTCAGGGTTCCAATCTCTGCTGTGGCCTCTGTGTAGAGTTTGCACGCTGTCCTTGTGCTTGCATGGGTTTTCTCTGGGTGTGCTGGCTTCCGGCACGTTTTCTTAATTGAAGATTGCTAAATTGTCCACCGGTGCGAATGAAAGTGAATGCGTGTTTGTCCCCTGATCCTATCTGATTTCAAAGCAGACAGAGCATGACTTTCTGCCAGCGTTTTTTACCCGGACAAAGTTAAAGAAATGACTCGGCACACAGGGAAAATTGTCTTCAATATTGGCTGGAGGGATCTCTGAGAGCGAACGACGGTAGTTGCCCCGATGATCACACACTCTGCTCCCTCTCCGCCAGTTCGAACTTTTATTGCAAAATACAAGAAAACACTGCCCCCGAGATTTGCATACCGCGCCCCCCGGTCCGGCCCCTCGGTAGTGATCTGATCTACCCGAATACACAAGTCACAGATTTTGCTGATGACAAATGTCCACCTGGGCGCGACAGCTGTTCCCAAACCGTCTTTTGGTATTCAACAACTCTTTGTTCTCAAATTGTTTATTCCCACTTTGTGACTTAGTCAAGCCTTTTTCCATCTGTTCGCCCCCCTTGCTTTGACGTGATTACTCAAAAGAAGGCCCTCCGCCCGAACGGCCGACACCTCTGCGCTGAGTATGTCCAGACATGCCCAAATTAACCGAAACTTTAAACATGATACAATTTTGTTCATAGATTTCTCTGTCACTTTCATATACTGAAGATAAAAGGGAAGGCAGGGAGAGCCACGTCCAAGTGAGTGGCGAAGCAAGGTCACAATTTGGACTTAACACAGTCACTGACGGCAAAAATACTTTGTAAAAAGTCTAAAAGGCTTCTCTGCAACCGCATTGGTTCATTTCAAAATAACTGCGATGCTTAATAATGGCAAAATCTCTGCCGCTGGCCACAGAATTTCAGAGGTAACTGTATGAATGTAAAAGTTAAAAAGAAAACTGTTTACCTTCAATGTCTCCTGGATATTTGACATCTTCTTTGAAATACGCCAAAATTCTCTGGCATTCTTCGGCATCTCTTTTTGAATATTTGTATTTAGTAAAATTCTTTAACACCATTTTTGGATCTAAAAGAATAAATTTAGGAACAGTGTAAACAATCTCCTGCCGGACGTAATCCGCATATGCTATCTCATTGCCGTTGTCTGTCCACACTTCCAAATCTGTGTCGGGAGAGCAGGACACGGTTATCTTGGTATCGACCAGAACTGAAACATAAGAAATGCTGGATCAAATCTTCTCTCTCAAGAACATTCTACCATTCATATTAAGGTATCACATAAAAACGTATTAATTTAATTCTTACATTGTGAACAAGTCCTTAGGCATTCCAGTATCAGGATAAAGAAAGTAGAGAGGTTCATATTTTAACTGCAAGTAACCTTCAACTTAATGATGAATCACGACTGAAACGTCTGAAAGACAAGGAAACGTTGAGAGCACAACGACTTCTTCATGATTAAGCCTGCAAATCATCTATTGGCAGCCAGAAGCTGCACAGATGGACAGCTTTACAAACAATACAATACTGTACTGAGTAAAAGTTAAAAGTCACCATTAGATTTCAAGTGTCTGTTTTTTTGATGAGGTACACAAACACAGGAATTCTGTTTATAAAATTAACCATTAAAAAAAAATACTCTCCTCTCCTGCAGCAGCATGGCAGGCTGATTGGACACTCGAAAATATCCCTCGGTGTGAGTGTGAGCGCGAATGGTCGTTCGTCTCTGTGTGCCCTGCGATTGGCTGGCAACTGGTTCAGAGTGTCCCTCGCCTACTGCCCGAAAACAGCTGGGATAGGCTCCAGCATGCCCCCGCGACCCTTGTGAGGATAAAGCGGTTCCGAAAATGGGTGGATGGATGGATAATATTATTATCGTCATCCACTGATGTGAAAATTCAAGCAGAAAATTCACCGTAAAAGTCGCTTCATCTCTATGTAAAAAGCCACGAGCTTCACGTTCATTGCAGGCTAATTGACACGCTATAATTAATAGCATGGGAATTTCTACTGTTACCTGGGATGGGGCCGCAGCTAAGTAATTGTTCCCACCAGCAGTGATGAAAACTTACTTTCTTCCAAAACGTTCTTATATTCACATTCTTTAAGTTGTTTCTCTTTCCCATTCTGCTACCAAGACATGTATCAAGGGCATATGCTCCCAGATGCTTAAATCAGAAAAAAGTACAATTTGTTGGATGACACTGTGTTCGCTAATCACAAGTGAACGCAACTTCGAGGGACCGCCTCAAGTCGTTCTTTGCAGACAGCGTTTTATAAGCTTCTCTCAACCATAATGGAGGGCTATGCATGTTTAAACTAGATTGAAATTTAAAAAATGCAACTTTCCAGCGTTTGAAATGGTCCAAATCACAGCTTTCTTTGTTTCTCTCCATCATTTTTGAATACTCTTTGGTAGCCCAAAAATCTAATTTACCAATAATGCACTGCGGCAGCTGAGATCTGCAAGTTGTTTATTAATGTCCTAAAGTTTCGGGGACTCAAGGAACATGTAAAATCTTGCGTATTGCCCCTGGTATTCAAGTTTGATTTGTTCTTGTTTAATACTGTCTCAGAGTTCGTGTTAAAAAAAAAATCCCCACGAGTCAAGTCTGTGGTCACCAGTTTTGTAGCAATTATATTTTGGACCGTGAATTCTAAATACACAACATTCTGTAGTGTGTTTAAAATGCACTCACCCGCACGGAAAAAAACAGGCAAAGACAAATGATGACGGTCTATGCAGGATGTCAAAAAGAGAACTGATATAAAAGCAAATCTACTGCCACAGTAGTTGAAAAGTGACACTTGGAGGCGTGGCATTTCAGCCGTGAATTCATACGGTTCATATTCTGAAGTTCGTTTACGGTAAATGTATCGTACCATGCGAGTGAAAAAAATTCCACCAAACCAGTTGTACCAGTTTAATCTTCTGAAAGTTTAAAGGGGTATCTCTGATAAACAAATGTGTAAAAGGTGTTGGTAGCCAGGGATTGAAACATATGTTTCGCAAAAAATAACACAGCCCCTAAAAAAAAAAAAAAAAAATTATAACTTTCAGAAAAATTCTCCCTCCAGAAATAGTACATATTTCTTTACCTTGTGTAATTGAAAAAAAAATGAAATTTGACATCAAAGATAATTTGACTTGCAAATGTCAGGTTCAAAATCAAACCAAATAATGTTTTGGATTCCAGAAATTCAGGCTCAGACAAAGTACGATAACAAAACTATTACAGAAAAGCGCACCGACAAAGTACAAACTATAGTTGCTGGTCACAAGGAGCCGGGAAAAAAATATGCATAAAACAAAAAGTGCTTGCAAAGGTAAGGTAGAAGTGAACATTCTCGGTAGAATACGCAACAGAAACATCAAGTCCAATCATGCGAAACCAAAGATCAAGATCGATAAAAAGGAATGATGAAAATACAAAGTTCTATGACAAAATAACAATGACGACGAAAGCTGTAAAGAGGTCTAGAAGACAACACTTGAAGGACAACAGCGAGCAAAATCAATAATGCGACAAGTGACTGGGCAGTTTGGCAAGGCTTAAATACATGGCAGGCTTGATTGATAAATGCGGAACAGGTGGGCCTGCTGGAGGGAAACGCCCTGCACTCCAGCTAGGGATGACAACAAAGCAAACAGACAAACATGACAGTAAAGTGCCTTTGAATACTTTTTAAAGCGCTACACAAATAAAATGTTTGATGATGATGATTATTATGATTATTAATAAACATGATTAAACATCAAAAACAACAATTCCAGCCGTTTTGACTGCGTGAATGAACTCATGGATTTTATTGGATTTGAATAGAACATTATAAGGCACAGAACAGAGAAATAAAATTGAAAAAAAAAACATATTTAGCACGATTAGTTTATTTTATTTACTCTTGGTGGTATATTTGAGTCTCAGCCTCCTCTCTCTCCCCTGACTGGACGTCCCTTCTGTCACCACTTGTTGACGCTCTCACTCGCCCTGGAAAGAAAAAATAGAAAATATCACACAGCTTCAGCTGGTGTGTAAGATCACCAAAAGATTTTTGTTGAAAATGTGAAAAACATGACTGTTTTGTTAAATTGCCATAATTAATTTGTCATGATTCTGTTTGAGGGAGGGGTACTGTCATGATTTGGTTTGGGACCAACAGGTGGCACTGTAGGGCTTCCCCTGCAGCTGCACACCTGTTGGTCGTTATGTAATTATTAGTGCTTTAAAAGGACTCCCAGCCCGATCAGGCGACCACTCATTGTTGCGTCATTGTTTGTGTTTGTGTGTTGCTTGATTGCTACTGTCATGTTTGTTTTCGGTCATGGTTAGTTTTTGCTTCTGTCATGGTTTTGTTTGCTACTTTGGATTTTGTTTCCTCAGTGTTTAAATACAATCTGTCAAGTTCACCCTGCTCCTCCCTCGTCCCTGCCTTTTGGGGTCCACCACCACCCTGTATCGTGACAGAATGACCCGACCTCCTGGAGCCCACAGGTATAAAGGACTGGTTCCAATTCCACCATGTACCTGGCGGAGGACATCTGCGGCTGACACCCTTTTCCCCTTCAGGCAGTGCTGGTCTTGTGGCTGTCCCATGTTCCCCCTTCAGGCAGCGCTGGTCTTGCGGCTGTCCCATGTTTTCGTCTCGTCAAGCCGCGTCTATGGTGGGCCGAGCCCCGTCCACGTCGAGCCAAGGCTCGTCACGTGTCTGTTCGAGCTGAGTCACATTCACGTCGACGACGAGCCATGCCACGTCCATGCCAGGCCCAGCCCCTGTTCACATCCGGCTGTCCCATGTCCCCCGTTACGTCGAGCTCCGTCCACGTCAGGCCAAGCCCAGCCAAAGGGTTGCCGTCGCTTCTTGTTCGTGTTCCCTGGTGAGGCGAAGGTCGCCGTCGCTTCTTGTTCCTTTTCTCCGGCGAGGCGAAGATCGCTGTTGCTTTTGTTCCTGTTCTCCGGCGAGGCAAGGGTTGCTGTCGCTTTTAGTTCCCGTTCCCCGGCGAGGCAAGCTTTTGATCAACTTTGGGAGGTCTGGGATCTGTCCCTTGAGGGAGGGGTACTGTCATGATTCGGTTTGGGACCAACAGGTGGCACTGTAGGGCTCCCCTGCAGCTGCACACCTGTTGGTCATTATGTAATTAGTATAAAAGGACTCCCGGCCGACCACTCATGGTCGAGTCATTGTGCTTGTTTGTTTGTTGCTGTTCGTTTCATTGTTTGCTTGTTGCTTGCAACTGTCATGTTTGTTTCTGTCCTGGTTCTGTTGGTTCTGTTCCTGTTAGTTTTTTCTTTTTTTTGCCACAGTCATGGTTTTGTTTTGGTACTTTGGATTCCTTGTGTTCTTGGAACTTTGTTTAGGATTTAGTTTTCTGTGTTTTAATACAATTGGTCAGGTACACCCTGCTCCTCCCTCCTGCCTGCTTTTTGGGGTCCACCACCTCGCAAACGTGACATAATTGATTCAAGTGGTCTCATATAAGATTGCAATTTTATATTGGTTTCCAGTAAATCCAAAAGAAAATAATGAAAATGTTACTGCCCGGTAGCAACAAGAAATAAAAATTCTGGTCCCTTGACCCAAGTCAGTCTAAAGTACCATTTTTTTTCATCTTAATTTACATCAATCACTTACCAGGCACATTACTTCTGTAGTAAATCAGGCCAGCAGATGAAGAGACCACACCCACAATCAGACCCAGTGTTCCTAATATGATCTTATTCCTCACAAACTCTGGCATGGCCTCTGAAAATGCCAACATAACGTTACGTTATTGTATAATGAAATGGTGAAAAGAGAGAGACTTGCTTTTAAACTTTACTCTGTCAATATTCAACTCACCTGGAACACCTCTCTAACCAGCCATCTGATTGGCTGAGACATATCTGTAATAGGTTACATTAACCTTTACATGACAGCCAACTATTTTTTTTTTTCTTTTCAGAATTGTCCAGTTCAACGGCATTCGGCTTGTGTTAATATTAGCAATCACACCTGACATGACATATCTATCTACATACCCCAGTCATAAATCCTCGCCTTCTCGAGGCTGGGGTGCTCCACCATGCAGCTGATTTTGTCCCAGTGCGTTGGCGTGTACTCCAAGTACGAGTGCCTCTGATAGAGCCAATTGCCACTGGGTAGGGACTCGGTGGACGTCACCTCAGACGTAACCTTCTCGCCGTTCTTGAGCCACGTCACCAAGATGTCCTTTGGATAGAAATTGTACACGCTGCAGACGAGGGTCGCTGGATGCTCGCTGTCCGCCGGCGCCTTGGTTAATCGCAGTCGAACCTTCGGCTCAACTGCGAAATTGTGAAAACCACAAGTGACAACGAAATAATGGTAAACTACTGAACTGAGACGTATCGGTACACATGGAGGTGAGAGGAAGTGAAACTATGTTAGTCTCCCCTTTGCAGCTTCCACTCAGAAGACCACAAGATCTGACTGTGAAGTCAAAAGTCACTTGAACCTGAGAGAGGGCATTGTTATCACACGATCACGGTTGGTGTTCACCCCAAATGTTTTTGATGGGGTTCTTTCATGCCAAACTCATCTCAACCTTGATGGATCTTATTTTGCTGATTGATGGATGATTGATTGCTATGACCCAGTGCTTCTTATCATATAATCTAAAGGTTAAAACAGATCACCTTTCTTTGTTGAAGTGCTATAGGCACGCGTGATCCATCTCTTGCAATGTTGTAGATGTTTTTTTTGGTCTTTCAAAAAAACGTCTCTGTTGAGAATGTCTGCAATTGCCCTTCCTGTCTTTGTGTAGCCAATAATCTTTCCTCCGCTGCTGTTGTATTGGAGATAAAGCATCTTGTTATAGTAGATTTTTTCAGTTAAAAGTGCATCATCACTGGACATCCCCTGGCATTGGAACTGCCCATAGCCAAATTGAGCATCTGTAACATAAAAAGAAAACAATGTGTACCTTAAAAACAAATAAAGGTGTATACTGTATTACCCCTGCGGTTGGCTGCTAACCAGTTCAGTACCCTGCCTATTACCCCCCACCCAAAAAAAAGCAAGAAAATAAATAAAAACACATTTATGTATTCCCCATGGACTTCCAGTTATATATGTCATTGTTTATTCTTAGAGTTAATGTTTAAAAAGGCTCAACAGTGCTGGAGCAATACTGTGGCCGCTGTAGTTCCGCACAAACAATATTCTGTAGTATATTTAAAATGCACTCACCTGCATGGAAGAACACCAGGCAAAGACACAGTGATGAGAGGGTATGCATGGCGGTGTTGGAGCTACACGTACCACAATTGACTCTGAACCATATATACCTTGGACGTTTGTAAACCGAAAGTGAAGCCGCAACAGTGGGAGTCGCTTTGAATTTTGAGGCGTGTCAATTCAGTAATGCCAGTGAAAGAAATCCCACCGTGCAGTCTAGAAATTAATTACAAAATTCAGAAAATATATGGCTTCAATATGCAAGATTGCCACACGTTTTGCAAGTTTCTGGCCAGAAATACCCAATTTCTTCTGGAAATTGCTGTCATCCGTAAAGAATAGCTGTCTAATTACGCACATGAAAGTTATTTCAAGTTTGATAGTTGTCGTGCGCTGCGATTAAGTATTTATCCTTTATACACACACACACACAAAGACGATTGGGGTGTACAACGTATTTATATTAAATTGGAATTAGGATTATGGGAGTAGAGTTGTGACAGCCGTGGTGGCGGTGGGCGGCTCGCAAGGCTCAAATTATTGGCTACACCTTCGCGTCCCAGGTTTTTTCAGCTCTGCGCTGCGCCTTAAAAGACCGCAATTATCCTTTCTCGCCTGTAGATGGCAACGTTTTCCAATGTTTTGCATGGGTAAAGCCGCTGTTTTTCTCATGTTCCACGCCAGGGGTTTCAAACTCATTTTATGCGAGGACCCCTGGAGATTGTGTGTCTCCAACGCATGCACTACTGTTTTCCACTAAAAAGGTCTTCAAGTATTCAAAAGACGTATAACAAATATATTCTTCTCATTCTTGATTAAAAACAGTTCAGAGAATTCACATTTTTTAAGTACGTGGGCAAGGTTGGTGACACCGGTTCTCTTTTCTCATCTCCCTCGGCATGACTAGTTGAGTAATGACATCTGCTTCATTGAGCACCGCATTCAAGATATGTCGGGGGGCTCCTGTGCTCAATAAAAAAACATTCTGTCTCCTGTTTGTCTTGAATTGGCTGTTCTCGCGCACTCGGGCTGCTCGATATTGGAAAAACATTCCGTATGTGATTGCACAGTATTGAATATAGCGATATCAATGTTACTGCAATATTTGACATGTACCTAATGAAATGTCATTTTTATTATTTCATGAAATATTTTTTTCATGTGCCAAAATAGAGGTTTCAAGAAAAATCCGATTGGCAAAAACTGTAATGTATTAAATTGAAAGAGTCCAACATTTACGTTAATGCACTCACCCGCACGGAAAAAAACAGGCAAAGACAAATGATGACGGTCTATGCAGGATGTCAAAAAGAGAACTGATATAAAAGCAAATCTACTGCCACAGTAGTTGAAAAGTGACACTTGGAGGCGTGGCATTTCAGCCGTGAATTCATACGGTTCATATTCTGAAGTTCGTTTACGGTAAATGTATCGTACCATGCGAGTGAAAAAAATTCCACCAAACCAGTTGTACCAGTTTAATCTTCTGAAAGTTTAAAGGGGTATCTCTGATAAACAAATGTGTAAAAGGTGTTGGTAGCCAGGGATTGAAACATATGTTTCGCAAAAAATAACACAGCCCCTAAAAAAAAAAAAAAAAAAATTATAACTTTCAGAAAAATTCTCCCTCCAGAAATAGTACATATTTCTTTACCTTGTGTAATTGAAAAAAAAAATCAAGTTTGACATCAAAGATAATTTGACTTGCAAATGTCAGGTTCAAAATCAAACCAAATAATGTTTTGGATTCCAGAAATTCAGGCTCAGACAAAGTACGATAACAAAACTATTACAGAAAAGCGCACCGACTAAGTACAAACTATGTCACAAGGAGCCAGGAAAAAAATATGCATTAACAAAAAATGCTTGCAAAGGTAAGGTAGAAGTGAACAGAACACCGAGAATACGCAACGGAAATATCAAGTCCAATCATGCGAAACCAAAGATCAAGATCGATAAAAAGGAATGATGAAAATACAAAGTTCTATGACAAAATAACAGTGACTACGAAAGCTGTGAAGAGGTCTAGAAGACAACACTTGAAGGACAACAGCGAGCAAGATCAATAATCCGACAAGTGACTGGGCAGTTTGGCAAGGCTTAAATACATGGCAGGCTTGATTGATAAATGCGGAACAGGTGGGCCTGCTGGAGGGAAACGCCCTGCACTCCAGCTAGGGATGACAACAAAGCAAACAGACAAACATGACAGTAAAGTGCCTTTGAATACTTTTTAAAGCGCTACACAAATAAAATGTTTGATGATGATGATTATTATGATTATTAATAAACATGATTAAACATCAAAAACAACAATTCCAGCCGTTTTGACTGCGTGAATGAACTCATGGATTTTATTGGATTTGAATAGAACATTATAAGGCACAGAACAGAGAATTAAAATTGAAAAAAAAAACATATTTAGCACGATTAGATTATTTTATTTACTCTTGGTGGTATATTTGAGTCTCAGCCTCCTCTCTCTCCCCTGACTGGACGTCCCTTCTGTCACCACTTGTTGACGCTCTCACTCGCCCTGGAAAGAAAAAATAGAAAATATCACACAGCTTCAGCTGGTGTGTAAGATCACCAAAAGATTTTTGTTGAAAATGTGAAAAACATGACTGTTTTGTTAAATTGCCATAATTAATTTGTCATGATTCTGTTTGAGGGAGGGGTACTGTCATGATTTGGTTTGGGACCAACAGGTGGCACTGTAGGGCTCCCCCTGCAGCTGCACACCTGTTGGTCGTTATGTAATTATTAGTATAAAAGGACTCCCGGCTGACCACTCATGATTGAGTCATTGTGCTTGTTTGTTGCTGTTTCATTGTTTGCTTGTTACTTGCAACTGTCCTGGTTCTGTTCCTGTTAGTTTTTTCTTTTTTTTGCCACAGTCATGGTTTTGTTTTGGTACTTTGGATTCCTTGTGTTCTTGGAACTTTGTTTCGTATTTAGTTTTCTGTGTTTTAATACAATTGGTCAAGTACACCCTGCTCCTGCCTGCTTTTTGGGGTCCACCACCACCTTGCAAACGTGACATAATTGATGCAAGTGGTCTCACATACGATTGCAATTTTATATTGGTTTCTGGGAAATCCAAAAGAAAATAATGAAAATGTTACTGCCCGGTAGCAACAAGAAATAAAAATTCTGGTCCCTTGACCCAAGCAGTCTAAAGTACCATTTTTTTTCATCTTAATTTACATCAATCACTTACCAGGCACATTACTTCTGTAGTAAATCAGGCCAGCAGATGAAGAGACCACACCCACAATCAGACCCAGTGTTCCTAATATGATCTTATTCCTCACAAACTCTGGCATGGCCTCTGAAAATGCCAACATAACGTTACGTTATTGTATAATGAAATGGTGAAAACAAAGAGAGAGACTTGCTTTTAAACTTTACTCTGTCAATATTCAACTCACCTGGAACACCTCTCTAACCAGCCATCTGATTGGCTGAGACATATCTAATAGGTTAGATTCACCTTTACACGACAGCCAACTTTTTTTTTTTCAGAGTTGTCCACTTCAGTGGCATTTGGCTCGTGTTAATATAATTAGTACTCACACCTGACGTGACATATCATCTATCTACATACCCCAGTCATAAATCCTCGGCTTCTCGAGGCTGGGGTGCTCCACCACGCAGCTGATTTTGTCCCAGTGCGTTGGCGTGTACTCCAAGTACGAGTGCCTCTGATAGAGCCAATTGCCACTGGGTAGGGACTCGGTGGACGTCACCTCAGACGTAACCTTCTCGCCGTTCTTGAGCCACGTCACCAAGATCTCCTTTGGATAGAAATTGTACACACTGCAGACAAGGGTCGCTGGATGCTCGCTGTCCGCCGGCGCCTTGGTTAATCGCAGTCGAACCTTCGGCTCAACTGCGAAATTGTGAAAACCACAAGTGACAACGAAATAATGGTAAACTACTGAACTGAGACGTATCGGTACACATGGAGGTGAGAGGAAGTGAAACTATGTTAGTCTCCCCTTTGCAGCTTCCACTCAGAAGACCACGTGATGTGACTGTGAAATCAAAAGTCACTTGAACCTGAGAGAGGGCATTGTTATCACACGATCACGGTTGGTGTTCACCCCAAATGTTTTTGATGGGGTTCTTTCATGCCAAACTCATCTCAACCTTGATGGATCTTATTTTGCTGATTGATGGATGATTGATTGCTATGACCCAGTGCTTCTTATCATATAATCTCAAGGTTAAAACAGATCACCTTTCTTTGTTAAAGTGCTATAGGCACCCGTGATCCATCTCTTGCAATGTTGTAGATGGTTTTTTTGGTCTTTCAAAAAAACGTCTCTGTTGAGAATGTCTGCAATTGCCCTTCCTGTCTTTGTGTAGCCAATAATCTTTCCTCCGCTGCTGTTGTATTGGAGATAAAGCATCTTGTTATAGTAGATTTTTTCAGTTAAAAGTGCATCATCACTGGACATCCCCTGGCATTGGAACTGCCCATAGCCAAATTGAGCATCTGTAACATAAAAAGAAAACAATGTGTGCCTTAAAAACAAATAGATAAATAAAGGTGTATACTGTATTACCCCTGCGGGTGGCTGCTAACCAGTTCAGTACCCTGCCTCTTACCCCCACCCAAAAAAAGCAAGAAAATAAATAACACATTTATGTATTCCTCATGGACTTCCAGTTAGATATGTCATTGTTTATTCTTAGAGTTAATGTTTAAAAAGGCTCAACAGTGCTGGAGCAATACTGTGGCCGCTGTAGTTCCGCACAAACAATATTCTGTAGTATATTTAAAATGCACTCACCTGCATGGAAGAACACCAGGCAAAGACACAGTGATGAGAGGGTATGCATGGCGGTGTTGGAGCTACACGTACCACAATTGACTCTGAACCATATATACCTTGGACGTTTGTAAACCGAAAGTGAAGCCGCAACAGTGGGAGTCGCTTTGAATTTTGAGGCGTGTCAATTCAGTAATGCCAGTGAAAGAAATCCCACCGTGCAGTCTAGAAATTAATTACAAAATTCAGAAAATATATGGCTTCAATATGCAAGATTGCCACACGTTTTGCAAGTTTCTGGCCAGAAATACCCAATTTCTTCTGGAAATTGCTGTCATCCGTAAAGAATAGCTGTCTAATTACGCACATGAAAGTTATTTCAAGTTTGATAGTTGTCGTGCGCTGCGATTAAGTATTTATCCTTTATACACACACACACACAAAGACGATTGGGGTGTACAACGTATTTATATTAAATTGGAATTAGGATTATGGGAGTAGAGTTGTGACAGCCGTGGTGGCGGTGGGCGGCTCGCAAGGCTCAAATTATTGGCTACACCTTCGCGTCCCAGGTTTTTTCAGCTCTGCGCTGCGCCTTAAAAGACCGCAATTATCCTTTCTCGCCTGTAGATGGCAACGTTTTCCAATGTTTTGCATGGGTAAAGCCGCTGTTTTTCTCATGTTCCACGCCAGGGGTTTCAAACTCATTTTATGCGAGGACCCCT